ATAAGTTTTGCAATAAAATCATGAACATCCATTGTTTTTAAGATAAGTTTTGCAATAAAATCTATCTGGTGGAGCCGTGTGGGGGGAGGGGTGCTCTGTGGGGCGGGAGCTCAGCTGCAGACTGAGCTCCAGGGAGGAGCTTTGTGTAAATAGGCGGAGCTTTGTACCAGCGAGCATTTAGGCAGCTCTACTTGGCTGGAGATGCAAGGATTTCTCAAACATGCAGGAAAGGGTCAAAGTGACACTCTGGGTATGTTTTTGATGAAGGAATGTCGTTAAAACATAATACCACCACACCACCACCATACACCCTTTTATTTCAGAAATGAYGTTAAGTATAAAAATATAGGAATGAAATAATAGTAAGTTGTATTATGTAATTTGTGTATAACTTGAAACTACGAAATTACCTGCAAACTCAGCCCCCGCTTCTGGGCCCCACTTTTGACACCCGAGAAAAAAATCCCTAGGTCCGCCACTGCCTGAAGAAAAATGAATGCGAGGGGAAGGGAGGTGTAGCAGTTTAGAATTAATCCAAACACAAAAACTGAACTTTGGTGCAAAGTTTGGTCAATAAAAATAAGTCAAAACACTTACAGTAAAAAAGAGGGGGAAAGCAGCTTCGTGACAAAGCTGTGGCAGAACACCACCTGCCTGCAGCCCTGACTGACTGCCAGCAGTCTGATCCAGTGAAAAGCTTTGACAGCCAATAGGAAGCGGAGCGCCGCTTGTTTCCATGGGAGGCCCCGGGAGGCGCTGCCAAGCCGCTCCGGAGCTGCGCGCCGAGCGGGAAGAGGCGCGGGGCARCGGCCGGGGGCTGAGCGGATCGTGCAGCCGCACCGTGGCTCTCCCAGAGCGGACGAAAAGACGGCTCGGAGGCGGTAAGTCAGTTGTTGTTCCGCTGCTGAAGTTTAGTGAGAGGCCAGCGAAGCTCGTCGGTGCGCCGCGCGCGTCGTTGACGCGTCTTTCTGAGCACGAGGGACAATTTCATCCTGTCCAACAGCTGAACATTGTCTTAAAGAGTAAAACTCGTTCAGTTCACTTCCTCTTTCTTTTCTTTACTGAAGCTTTGATCAGGACAGCCTGGGACTCAGCTCTGACCGGAGCCGCGGGGGGAAACATGGATGGACATCACGACCAGCAAGTGCCTCACTGTAACTCCAGAGTGAGTAATCTGCACCTTGGAAACAAGTTGAACCAGAAATAAGAGTTGAAAACAGTCATTAATGTTTGTTTTCTGCATTAAATCCAGGATTATACACACTGCTTTAAGATTTCTACATCTTTAGAAGTGTTTAATTATGAAAATCTGTTGTTTTTGTTTGTTTTGTTTTTCCTCTGCTGCTGCAGAGACACAAACATCATGTCTCAAAGCACAGAGTCCTTTGCAGGAATTAAACTAAGCTTCAGACTTTCTTACATTTTTTTTAAGTTGCACATGTGCTGAACCCAATAACATAAAATATACTTTTTGTCTTCTTAATTCCAGGTCCTGCAGGAAAAGACCCCCGGCTACGAGAGCCCAGCAAACGTCAGAAAGAGAAAACTCATTAAGTCCGACCTGGCTCTGGACACTGAAGGTAGGCCGAGGACAGAGGCAGGAGTTAATTTCACGGCTTCTAAACATTTAGCAAAATTCAATTGGCCGGCGGCCACCTGTGCTGCTAACTACAGAATCTCAATTAGAGCCTGTGATGAGCCTTACAAGCCTGTCAGTGGTCAGACACACACATTGACTTGTTATTAGCTGCACACACAGAGCTGCAGCAGCATGTCTGGACCTGGAATCAAGTCACTTGGTTGTGATGCTCCTCCTGAGCTTTGATTGTGTTTTTGAACCTGTGCTTGTTTTGTGTGTGTCCCCCCCACCAACTTTAGAGCTCTTCCAGGACCTCAGTCAGCTGCAGGAGGCTTGGCTGGCAGAAGGTGGGTGTTTCAAATCTCATGCAAAAATAAAAGAAAGAAATGGGTAAAAAGTGGAGAGGTTGTGAGGAGGGTGGGGGGTAAAAAACGCTGCCTGGAGTTCCATGCCTCGTGCTGCAGTCCAATTAAAAGCCTGTGTGGAAGAGGCACCTTGTGTGTCATGCATACATTAGAGACTGTGAGCGAGGGGTCTTGAGGGAGACCGAGGAGGCTCTACCCTCAGAGTGTCATCACAAATTACCAGGAGAAGGCTCTCCGACGCTCACTGCCTCTCCTGCGTTTGGCAGCAGCTCACCGTGCTGCACGCCAGCCCGCCGCCCTGCTGCAGCCCACCAACTCTTTCTTCCTCTCTCACCCCCCCCCCCTCCTCATCTGCCCTCCTCCTCCTCCTCCTCTTGCATTACTCCCTCTTCTTACCACTCGTCTCTTCATCTTTTACAGCGTTACTTTACCTTGTCTGCTTCAATTTCATTTGCTGGCTGCACAAAAAGAAAAAAAATGGATCTATAATTTTTTACCCCCTTTTTTTGGTGCAACTTTTAAAACACTTTTTTTGTTTTTTTATTTACATATCTATCCATTTCTCAGATTTTTTTTTTCATTTTTTTTCTCTAATGGCAAGACTTGATTTTTGTGGTCTGACTGAGACGGGATGCTTCAGGATTTAAGTGCGAGCGTCCTCTTTCCATCCTGTCTGCAGCACCGAACTTTTGGTTAGTGGTGAAAACAAAACTTGTTCTACTTTGAGCTTTTTTTATGTGTGTAAATGTGTGTGTGCATGTTGGAATCATAGTTTATCGCTTCGCTTTTTATTTTGCTCCTGACTCAGAAACTTAGATTTGCTTTAAAAAAATGTATCATTTATGAGTTTTATTGTGAAAAGTAGAACTTTTAGTCGGACCTGCTRTAGAAAAAAAGTGTAAAAATAAGTTCAAATTTATTTTAAACATGTTCTCTAGTTTTAAAATCTTAAAAGTTGATCAAACTGCTGCATTTTTTTGCTTCTATCTCATCTATTTTATGTTAAATATCGTTTTTAAATTCTTGCAACTTTTGAATTCATGATCTTTTAAAGCAATTTAAATGCTTAAAAGTGTTTAAATGATAATTTAGTGCTACAGTGTTTACAACATAGTGATAAACTGAAACAAATGAATTGTTACTTTACAACCTTTTTACGTTTTTATTAATATTCGCACCCTTCTCCTCAAAAAAAATCAGTATTTAGAACAATTTGATTATTTAAAGCTGTAATTTTATTAGTAAAGTATATTTCTAAAGTGTAATTGAGCTTATTTTAAAACATTTTGAAGCGTTTGAGTCGTGATGGGAGGATTTTAGTTAGCACCGCTCCTCACAGCCAAAAGAAACTCAATCATTTATGAACTCCGTCTTTTCTTTAACTCGTCCAAAAGYGCTCGCTTTGAGGAAAAAAAGGGGAAGAATTATTTGAAACAGATATGAGGAATAGCTGAGGTGGAATTAGGTGTCATGCTGCTCACCACAGGGTGTGCGAAAAGGGAAGGAAAAAAAAGGCGCGTTTTTAATATTTCAGGACYCAAAGTGAGGAGACGGCAGCTGGTAAGAGGTCTCCCAGTTCTGCCTGTCCTGGATCAATGTGATGATGTACGGTTTCAAATTGTGGATTTAATGAATGACTTCCTGTCCATTAGGATGAAAAGGAATACCTTCCCATTTCTAAGATTTATTAGTTCAGGTAATTGGAAGAAGAGGAGGAATTATGAGTGACAGACTGCATTTCCGTCTGGTTGAAGGTTTTGTCAAATGACGGCGAAGCTCTGACCCAAAGTGCAGGAAAAACACGTTTTTTACCTCTCGTTTCCCTTTAAGTGCTCTTTTTAAAAACAAAACTTACTCGTACATTTAGAACTAGTTCCTTACAAATAAAAAAATAAGATTTTTTTCTCTGTTATTTGTTTCTTTGAAATTTGAGTGCAGAAAATGAGAAAATCTCCTCCAGTGTTGCACTTTAAGAAATGAAAACTTTTTTTATTACTTCTTTTCTCCCTTCGTCTTTTCTGTGTTATTCTCCATTTTTTCCCCTGTTTTGTGAATGGTGGCAGACCTCCAGCTCTGCTGTTCTCTGCAGGAGTTGGTGGCAGAGATCAGCTGCTCGTTCAGAGGCTGGTGATTCATCCATCCTCCACTTCCTTTAGTCACTGAGACGCTGCTGCTCTGCCTTTGGCTTCCTGGCGTTTTTCCCCCCTAATCACGAAATTATTGTAAAGAGCTGCTGTTGTTTGAAGAACAGGAGTTTTTGTTTTAATTCTTGAAAATTGGCTGCTAAATTGAGCATTTTATGTCAAATTTAAACGTTGTGTTCTTTAATTTTTATTTTTGGTATTATTTTTAAAAGGCAGGATTAAATTAAAACAGAAGAACAATCATTATTCTTAAAACTCTAAATCCATATCTGCTGATAGTTTTAATTAAATCTGATTTTTCGGTGAAACATTTCTTTGTCTCGGCTGATTTTCTCACCCACTTGACATTTTTAGAAAAAACGGAGCGATTTCCTTTTCTTGATCTGTTAATTGTTTTTTTCTCCTCAATTCACACCTCTGGTGGGAGGAGAAGACCCCCTGACCACATTGAGAGTGATAAAAGTAGAAAATAGTCCTTTTTTTAAAAAAAAACTGGACGATCTCTAGACATGTAAAGACAAGTTACCCAACTTGTGATAATGAGGAGTCACCTCATTGCGTGTATAAATAGATGTGCTAATGACATGTTTAAATCTACTTTTATTATTATTTTTTCCCAAACATGACGGATGCAGCGAATTGTCCCAGAGTGTAAATATGTTGGAGACATAAATATGTGCATGCCTAATTGGAGCCGAAGTGGCTCAGGCTTCATTATTTTAGCATTAGCCCCGTGTGCAGCGGCGTTTGAAGCCCAGGTGAAGCTCTGCGAGCTTTGGAACAGACCTAACTCTGCAGGTACAGGTGGATTCAGCAGTAGGGAAGAAGCCAATTAGATGCAGTTAACAATGGGTGATTGGCTGCTGGCGAAGAGCGAGAGCCGAGGCTGCGGAGCAGTCAATGGGCAACGCGACCTCAGGAAGTGGATTTAGGAAGCAGACGGCCAACCAGAGGAAAATCTCTTGGTCAGGCGGGGTTTAGTTAGAAAATGTTATGAAGTAAATGTGGAAAAACTTTGCGAAGGACGTGAAGGTTATGTGTTAAAAACGTGCAAATTTAAGATTATATTTGTTTAAATCAGTAGTGTTCAGGAAATGTTCCGTATTTGCTTTAAAAACTCAACAGCTCTTGAAAAAATACGTTTAAAATCATGAATGATTTTTATTTTTGGGGCCTGATTGAAGCGTATATTTTAAATTACATTCACACTAACAGCAAAACACCTGAAAATAAACATGAGATGATTTTAKGATTGTATTCTTCAGTCAATAAGTGAATTATCTGTTTGTGTAAAAACATTATAGGAAAGAATTTAAAAAAAGCTCAAATCGCATAAAAATTACATCAAGAAATATCAAGACAAAAAAGAAAAACAATAATAAAAATGAGGTGACATGAAAGGCAAACAGTACTTAAGTAGTCCGATCTAAAAAAAAAAAAAAAAAACCTGAACTAAGCTTCAGTGACCCGGTTTGCCCGCAGACAGAACTGGACCCAGATCAAAGCTGTGCTGTCCGTCAACATTAGAGGCAAAAACTCAGCTCCTGTTTTTTTCTGCTTTTGTCTTTAGCTCAAGTTCCCGACAATGACGAGCAGTTTGTTCCAGACTTCCAGACAGAAAACTGTAAGTACCACACTGTGTGTGGGTGTGTGTACGTGTGATTGTGTGCACATGTGTGTGTGTGTGTGTACATCTGTGGCTGCCTTTTTTTTTATTTATTTATTTTTTTGTAATCTTATCAGGTGTGTTTGTGCTCGTGGAACGTGTAAGTTGTTCTCTGGAGAGTCTTACAGGACAGGTCTGTGGACAGGTGTATGGA